TGGTCCAGCCAAGTGCCCCTATTAATTTTGATATGTAATAGCTTCATTATTGTCCTGTTCTAAGTATTTTCCAATTTTTAGTATGATTTTTTTCTTTGATATATGATTTCAAAGTATATTTTAAAATTTCCAAACATAGTTGTTTTCTTTATCTTCTTGTTATTGATTTCCACTTTAATTGTGGTGTGGTCAGAAACTGTGAACTGTTTGAGACCGAGTCTTTGAAATTCATTGACATTTTTTTTAACCTAGCATATGATTAATTTTCATGAATGTTTCATGTGCTGGATCACTACTAAATGACATATTGTTTTTGTATGAATTAGGAAAATGTGCTCTTTCTTCCAGATAGATGTAACACCATACCTGAGCACATGGTTTAGCAAGTGGAGCTTAGGGTGGATTTTGACCCCCACCTGTTGTCCCCTTGGCTAGGTGCTTTTGATCAGTGAACAATCTGTTCATGGTGACTTGTTCATGTGTTCTTGTAAAGAATGTTTATTTTCCAGTTGCTAGGTACAGTGTTCCTTGTATATCTGCTAGAACAAGCTAGTTCATTTGATGTTCAAATTTTCTTAATCTTTACTGATTTTTTTGTCTGCGTCATCTATGAATTTATGAGAGAGATGAACTAAAAACTTACTGTGTTGGTGGTTTGTCTATTTCTCCTTGTATTTCTGTTAATTTTTGTTTCACATAGTCAAAGCAGTTGAGTACATTCAAGGTTAGTATTATTACATTTTTCTGTTGAATTGAAATTTTTTAAAAGATTTTGTTTATTTGACAGAAAGAGAGAGAAAGCGAGAGAGGGATCATAAGCGGGGGAGTGGGAGAGGGAGAAGCAGGCTTTCCCCTGAGCAGGGAACCTGATGGGGGGCTCGATCCCAGGACCCGGGGATCCTGACCTGAGCCAAAGGCAGATGCTTAATGACTAAGCCACCCAGATGCCCCTGAATTGAAATTTTTATCAATATATTGTAACCTTCTTTATTTAAAAAATTTTTAAAAAAGATTTTATTTATCTGTCAGAAAGAGAGAGAGCACAAGCAGGCAGAGAGAGAAGCAGGCTCCCCGCTGAGCAAGGAGCCGGACATGGAACTCTATCCCAGGACCCCAAGACCACAACCTGAGGCAAAGTCAGTGGCCTAACTGACTGAGCCACCCAGATGCCCCTTAAAATTATTTTTAAAAGATTTTATTTTTAAGTAATCTTACATCCAGCATGGGTCTTGAAATTACAACCCCAAGATCATGAGTTCCATGCTCTACCAACTGAGCCTTATAACTTTCTTTAAATCTAGTAATTATTTTTCCTTTGAAGTCTGTTTTGTGTGATATTAATCTAGCTATAACAGCTTATTTTTTGTTGATCATACTATTTAACTGTGTATTTTTTTCCATCAATTTTACTTTCAAGCTTACTGTGTGTATGTGTGTTTTGGGGGTATCTCTTAAAAATAGTTAGACTTTGTTTTTAAAGATTTTATTTATTTATTTGACAGAGAGAGAGTGAAAGATCACAAGCAGGCAGGCAGAGAGAGGGGGAGGCAGGCTCCCTGCCAAGCAGAGAGCCCAATGCTGGGCTTGATCCCAGGACCCTGGGATCACAAGCTGAGCTGAAGGCAGAGGCTTAACCCTCTGAGCCACCCAGGCACCCTATAGCTAGACTTCTTTAAATCCAGACTGATAATCTTTACTTTTAACTGGAGCATTTGGTTCATTTACATTTTATGCAATTATTGATATATTTAAGTTTAAATCTACCATCTTCCTCTATTCTCTTTGTCCCACTTTTCCAAAGTTTTTCCTCCTTTCTTGCCTTTTTTGGATTGGTTGATTTTTTTCTCTTTCTCTCTTTTAATTTTCCCCCTTTTGGTAGTTTGGAAGAGATAGGATATCCTTTTATGTTAGTGGTTATCCTAGAAAATTTAATATGTATATTTAACATAATTAAGTCTTTAGTTAATAGAAATCCATTACCAATACTCAGCATTCTAGGGCACAATTCAACAAAGGGTACAGTTTTTGCATTCATTCTTCTATTATTTTATTTACTTTTTCTTGTTTTTTTTTGACTTTACAGTAACCTAAAATTAAACTATCACTCCATGCATCAGACTATCAACATTGAAACTACCCAATCCCTAGCCTTCATCACAGACCTTAGTCCCTGCCTAGTCCATTGGTACCTGGGAGCCAGTGAGATCACCCGGGAACAGTATTCTCAGCTGCTGAGATAATACTAGACTCTGATAGCAAAGAACAGGCAAGCCACCAGCAAAGATGCAGAAGATATGATAGCTTTGCAGTCTTACAGAGTGAAAAGCCAATTAGCTCCGAGGAATTCCTAAAGGAGTCATCATAATGTGTAAAAATAGTTCTGCAGGCTCTGGGAGAAGGGAAAATCAAAGCTTCAAAGGGCATCACTTCAGTCAAGTCATACCACATTTGTGGCATACTGAGTAGTATGCATACTGTGCACAGTTCAGTGTTTGGAAGGAAAAATCACCATGATAAAGTGGCAAGGTAAACTACAATACAGCAGAATATTGTCAGTGGCTCTCAACAGGGGGGTTATTTTGTACTGCAGGAGACATTTTGCAATGTCTGGAGAGACTTTCAGTAACAACTTGTGTTTTGGGGAGGGGAAGTTCTACAATACACAGGATCCTCCCTGTCCTCTGTAAAGAATTACCTGGACTCAAATGTGGATAGTGCCCATTGCTATCCGTTGTACAGTGAAGTATACATAAGCAGCAGAATAGTGTTTGTTGTATCACAGAAACTATCCTGTAATAATGATTTCATATATCTTTAAGTGAGAATGATGGTACAGCAAAGATTCACTCTATCTTTTTGTTGACACTTGAAAAATCCTTAGTAATGAAAAATTAAAAGATCAGTGGGCACTTGCATCTCTGAATCTCTTTGAAATGGCAAAGGGTTTTTATGAGATGTCATTGAAACTAAGCAGTGTGTATTTTCTAATTAGTGGTTCTAGGATTTCAAAACCAGACAGGATGTTAGGAGACTAGATATAGCTGATGAAAAACAATCATGAACAATGTAGTATTTCTCCAGAACTTATTCTGAATACAGTCTTTCTCTCCAACAGCTTTTCAGTGCAAACGAACCTGGTGCTTTTGGTGAAAATCACCAAATTTAGAAGATACTAGTTCTTTTTAAAAAAAGATTTTATTTATTTATTTGACAGAGATAGACACCGCGAGAGAGGGAGCACAAACAGGGGGAGTGAGAGAGGGAGAATCAGGCTTCCCGCTGAGCCAGGAGCCTGATGCGGGCTGGATTCCAGGACCCTGGGATCAGGATGTGAGCCCAAGGCAGATACTTAACGAATGAGCCACCCAGGGACCCCAAGAAATACTAGATCTAAAGTTCATACCTAAATATATGTGTGGTAGGATTTCTTTCTTTGGTTTGCCTACATTTTCTAAAATTTCTGCCAAACACTTATTTTTAAAACTTTTTTGTTTTGTAAAGGTGCACATATTAAGCAAAGAATCCTTGCATGTCCTTCACTTATACTCCTAAAATGTTAATATTTTGCATTTGCTTAATCATCCTATGGCTTTCTTCTGAGGTACTTTAGAGTAAGTTGCAACATAATGCCCCATTATCTCTAAATATTCCAGCGAGTATTTTCTTTTTTAAGATTTTATTTATTCATTTGAGAGAGATACAGAGAGACGGAGAGAGAGAGAACACAAGCAGGGGGAGAGGCAGAGGGAGAGGGAGAAGCAGACTCCCCACCGAGCTGGGAGCCCGACATGGGGCTGGATCCCGGGACCTGGACATCATGACCTCAGCGGAAGGCAGACGCTCAAAAATCTGAGCCACCCAGGCGCCCCTCCAGCCAGTATTTTCTTAAACAAGGACTTTCACATTAACCATAGCACAAATATAAAAATCAAGATATTTACATTGATACCGTATTATTAATCTATAGATACTCAAATTTTGTCAGTTGTCCCAGTAATACCCTTTTTAGCAAAAGAAAAATGTTCTTTTTCTGGCTGGGGATCAGTTGTCATGTCTGTTTCTATTAATCCGGAGGAGTTCCTCAATATGTCTTTGTCTTTAGTGACTTTGATGATTTTGAAGAGCGAAAGCCAGTAATTTTGTAGACTGTCCCTCTATGGGTTTGTTTGATGTTCCCTCATGATTAAATTCAGGTTATGCGAATTTTGGTGTCATGAACGCTACAAAATTGGTTAGTGTTTTTCTTAGCACCTTATCAGTAGGCACATGATGTCCATTTCTGGGCGTGTTGATTTTCATCATAAGTAGGACGGTGTCTGCCATGTTTTCCCACTGTAGTTTTTATCTCGCCTTTGAAATCTTAGTATCTTGTCGGGAGATGCTTTGAGACTCTGTAATGTAAACAAGTTGTTTCTTATGGTAATTGCGCCCCCTAGTTTTGTCTAAGGTTACAGAGACAGAAGCCGATTACAGTAGGGTGTCAGCACTGGTGGCTGCAAGTGTTTCCAAGGGTCAGTTTCTGCCTGTATCCCTTGTATTAGCATGTCTAGCACATAGTAAATAGCTGCTTCTTTCCTGATTAGTTTCTTTTATCTCAGCAGTTAGTTGGGTGTATTGTAATTGATCTGCTCATGTTTTTCTTTCCCACAGACTGTGAGCTCGTTGAGGGTAGGCACAATGGCTTATTGCTTCTCTGTCGCCACTGTCTAGCACATACTAGGGGCTTCAAAAGTACATGTTCGAATTATTGGCCTGGAGTAGATACTACGGAAGAAGATAAGGGCTATGAGTCGGCCAGGGATGGCATTTTTCCTGTTCTAAAGGGAAGCTAGGGCAAAGGTAGTAGAGGGCGCGGCCGGCGTAGTCACTCTGCAAAAGAACCCATGGGTCTCAGCCACCTGGTTGGAGGCAATGCCTCGGTTTCCGCGGGTGGGGAGGAAAGTGGGGCGGGAAATCGAAAACCGAACTCGCAGCTCCCGGCATTCCCCGTGGGCGGTGCTCCCCTTTGACCCCTCGCTCGCGTGCTACACATCCGGGCCTCTGCTACTAGTGAGGGGAAGATGGCGGCCGCAACTGTGGTGGTTCCCGTAGAGTGGATAAAGAACTGGGAGAAATCAGGGAGAGGCGAATTGTGAGTGTCCGGGCTGGAGGCGCGCTCACGGCCGGGCCGGGCCCGGGCGTCAGCCGTGCTCTCCCAAGTGGGGAGAGGTTGGGGGGGGGGGGGGG